CCCCAGCACCCCCCCTCCCAGCAGCGAGCCCATCCTCTCGGCACAACCGGCAGCACCGGGCGCCGGGCGCGGCTACGGCTTTGACCCCAAGTTGGCTGACGTGTTGTCCCCTCGCATCGCCCGGCGCAGCTCCAAGAAGCGCTCCAACCGGGCGGCTCACCAGGAAAACCAACCACCCCCGGCACCCCCCGTCCTCGCCAAGAGCCGCCCGCCCACCAAGCACGTCCGTCACACCAGCGAGCCTGCCACCTTTGTCCCCATCACCGTCCCCGAGCCGCTTGTCCCTTCCGGCCACCACAGCCACCTCCCTGCTCCGGCTGCCGGCCGCTCACCCAGCAAATCCTTCTCGACCCTCCAACCTCCCTCACTAGAGGATGTCACCAAGCGGTACATGTTGGCCCTCAACTCAGGTGACTCTCCCGGGGATGGACCCCGCTCTCCACCTGCTGCCCCACCACCCCGGCTGCCGCGGTGCCCCCAACCACCCGACGAACACGGCCCCAGCACCAAGCCTCAGGTGGTAAGTGCCCATCCATCCTAACAACACTTCCCTTCCACAGGGTACGTGACCCTTCCAAAGCCGCCCAGGTCCCTCACGTGTCCCTCGCTGGGGACAAATTCCCACCCACGGATGCGCTGCTGGAAGGCCAAGAGCTTTCCCAGCCCTTTCCGGCGGTCCCAAAGGGATGAGCTGTTGTTTATAGGAGTGACCTCTCCAATAAAAAGGCAATTTTTGGGTGGGAAGAAGCAGTTTTCTGGAGAAACGGCACCAAATTTTGGTGGAAGGTGGTTTTATATCTATCTAAATAAATACAGAGAGATAATATTCTATATTTATATGTAACGTTTCCTGGCAAGGCTGCAAAAGTTCCCCGTGGCCTGGGATGCTGAACCAAAAATTGCCTTTTCCTTGGCAGGGAGGGCTTAAATGCTTGGGATTCCTCATCTCATGCACCTTATTGAGCACATTGGCATTTCCCCCATTAAAAAAAAAAGAATAAATCACCATCTTTCCACCCGGGACCGTGGGCTTTGCTGTGCCAGCAGCGTGGGAAGAGTGGGAAAACTGTTCCCGTGTGTGTGCCGGGTACTTTATGGATGGGTGAAGTTCTATCCTGTCTGTGGGAGAACTCGTGCTTTTTGGGGGGGGCGGGGACAGGCAGGGGTGTGTGCAAAGGCCATTTTCTCATCCTGAAATGTGCCCCCCCAACGCTTCGGGGTGGTTCCTGGGGTGGCTTTTGGGCGCTGCCGACCCCTGTTGTTTGGAGATGGATTTGGGTTCCCACCACTCCGGGTGTTTGTGCCGGGAAGCGCTTGGAAGTGTCACCTCCTCCCGCGGCAGCGCCGGCGCCCACGGGGCTTTTCATAGCTCTGGGCAAAGCCCAGAAATACCCGTTCCCGTGGGAGATGAGGAGAAAGCTGGTGGGGAGGGGGCTGGTTGGGGCTTTCTCCCCCTGCTTCCGTGCTGATTTAAGAGGACGGGCTTGACCGTTCCTGTCCAGCGGCGCCGCAGCCAAGCGTGAAGTCCTCGGGGCTGAGCCTGGCAGTGTAACCCTTGCTGGCCGGGGCAGAGCCGTGTGGAGGAGGGGGTGGGGATCTTTGCACCCTCCCAAAATCCAGATCCCTGCAGCATCTTCCCCCAGAATATTCCCCTGGGGGCTGGCAGCCCCACAGGGTTATTCCCAGAAGATACTGTCTCGGGGTGCAGGTTCCCTGCAGCCTCCTCCCCCCAAGATGTTCTCATGGGGTCTGGCATCCCCGCAACATCCTTCCCTCTAAATATTCTCCTGGGATCCAGTTTCTCTGCAGCACCATCATCCCAGGATGTTCTCATGGGGTCTGGCATCCCTGCAGCATCATCCCCCCAGGATGTTCTCCTGGGGTCTAGCATCTCCAGAGCACCTTTCCCCCAAGATGTCCTCTTGAGGTCCAGCATTC